TTCATGGGTCATCCCTGTCACTGGTGTCCAGCACCTCATCCGTCTATTCAACGGTAAGTTTTCAACCCCAAGTTTTTAAGTTTCTAAGTTATTTTGATCTTGATCTTTGGTTCATGCAGACTCTTAGTAAACATAAACATCAGTAAACAACACCAAACTGTAAAAATGTACATGGACTAATGGATGGAGCCGATAGATAGATAGATAGATAGATAGATAGATAGATAGATAGATAGATAGATAGATAGATAGATAGATAGATAGATAGATAGATAGATAGATAGATAGATAGATAGATAGATAGATTGATAAACAGAAATATAGATAGATAGACAGATAGATGGACAGACGAATGGATGAACTGATGGACGGACGGACAGACAGACAGACAGACAGACAGACAGACAGACAGACAGACAGATAGATAGATAGATAGATAGATAGATAGATAGATAGATAGATAGATAGATAGATAGATAGATAGATAGATAGATAGATAGATAGATAGATAGATAGATAGATAGATAGATAGATAGATTGATAAACAGAAATATAGATAGGTAGACAGATAGATGGACAGACGAATGGATGAACTGATGGACGGACGGACGGACGGACGGACGGACGGACGGACGGACGGACGGACGGACGGACGGACGGACGGACAGACAGACAGACAGACAGACAGACTTTTTAGCCTGTTTTATTAAAAATATAATTTACAATTTTTACATGATACCATGATACAATGTACTTTGAAATAAACAGTAAACAAAGTAAACAAATAGAGGAAAATATGAGAATGGCTAATTTATGAATGAGAAAATATGAGAATGGCTGAGGAATTAATGGATGGATGAGTAAATGGGGGATTGATAAATAAGTAAGTGGAGGAATGGAGGGACTAGTAAACAAATGGAGAGGAAAAAGTAGATTATATATGGATGAATGGGTTGGATAAATGGATGGATAGTTAAAAGACAGATGGAGAGATATGTAGATTGATGGTAAAGTAAAATAAATGGAAGGAAAATATAGACTATATGTATGGATGAATGCATACATAGATAGATGTATGGATGGATTAATGAATACAGAAGTAAATGAAAGAAATGTAAATGATAGATAAATGAGTAAGCAGATGGATGAAGGAACAGAAATGTAGACAGGGGAATAGATGGATGGATGGGCAAGTAAACAAATAAATGGAAAATGTAGAATATGGTTGGATGAACGATTAATTCAAAGACAGATGGACAAATATATAAATTGATGGATGGATGGATGGATAAGTAAATAAAAGACAGACCAATCGATGGACATGAGTAGGTGGATGGACGGAGGCATAGATATGTAGACAGATGGATTGATGGATACATAAATGAAAGGGATGGATGGATGGATGGATGGATGGATGGATGGATGGATGGATGGATGGATGGATAGATAGATAGATAGATAGATAGATAGATAGATAGATAGATAGATAGATAGATAGATAGATAGATAGATAGATAGATAGATAGATAGATAGATAGATAGATAGATAGATGGATAGATAGAGAGACAAATCGACAGACAGATCAATAAACAGACAGACAGATAGATGCTTGACAAATGGAAAGATGAGTAGATGAATAGATCAACAGAAAAGCAGATGGATAAATAATTGGATAAAACTGGATGTAGCAATGGACAGATGGATAGAAATATAGATGGATGGATGGACACAGGTAGAAAAGTAGTTTAGACATATACAGTAGGTTAGCTGTATCTTCATTGTGAGTGTTCACTCTGACAATAAGCGTCAGCCAATGGTTCTCCAGAATAAGATCAGGCTGCCACTCCTCCACATGGGAGGCTCCACTCACCTGCAGAGTTGATTGAACAACACACTCCCTTCAGCACACACACACATACACACGTGTATAGTCTGCAGATCAGATGGAACAGATCAGTCTGTAGCTTACTTACTTCAGGAGTTTAAGTAGAAAGAAGCAGAATAGTGGAAAATCATGATGATGGCGACTCTCTCTATGGGGAGAGCTGGTTCGTCTTGGGGATACACGGTAGGAACCTAACTATTTGCTGATACATATATTTATAATGTAAAACTATTTACTGTATGCGATATACTATTAAAATATAGTTCACCCAAAAAGGAAAATTCTGTCAGAATTTGCTCACTATTAACTTCAAAACTTATTTTAGTTTCTATTGGACATGAAGAATGCAGATAGATGGCCAGCAACCAGCATTCTTCAAAATATCTTATTTAGTGTCCAATAGATAACTCAATAAGGTTTAAAACCACATAACTGAGACTGTAATATAATAACATGACATATTTTGTAGTGTTTACAGTAGTTAATTGTTTTAGTTCTCATCCAACACAGTTTGAGATGTTCCCTTTGGCTGTGTTTTGTCTGATGATGGAGGCTGTAAGGTGTGTTTGCTTGTGTATGTGGGAGACTGCTGTCATGCAGAAAGATAGTGTCTTTTAGCAACACACTTAAAAACATTCTGTGCTGCTTTTGAAACATTCATTGTGTCCTCAGAGAACTGAACATTCAGCTAAAGCCAGATATAATGACACTGCGATCTGCAGTCTCTGAAAAAGTAAACAAAGCACTTATGATCAGAGGAGCATTGATTCAATTCCAACGTCAGTGTGTTGAGTCTGTTTGAACACATTTATAGAGAGCAAGATGTAATTAAGTGAAAGACGCCAATGGGTGCTTCCTATATGTCATGTAATGCTGTGATAAACAGACAATGATGCTGTTTTAATGTGACCGTCTGTCTTGCTGTCAATCATATGTCAACAGCAGAAGAAAATCATTATAGTGAGATGTCGTAACACACCTAATGGGTGTTTTTACAGTATGTGTGTGTACTATATGGCACATAAAGAGCAGTAGTATGCTATTGTTTTCTAAAGCATTTATTTGTCATTGAGTATTTATTCAAATCTCTTAAAAGTTAGACTTAACTGAACTAAACTGAACTGTGAAAACTGAATTGCAGTTTCAATTTACTAAAACTTCATCTATGTTATGCTGCTTTGACAGAATATATATTGTATAAAGCGCTATAAAAAATAAAGTTGATTATTTAAAATATTTTAAAAATTGTTGAATCTAAATCTAAACTTATATAAAGTTGTTTGGAAATGTGATTTTAGGTTGTAAGAGTGAGGTTTTTATAGTTTTGCATGAGTAAAATGAGTTTTTGGGTTTTTAAAATGGGTTCTTATTTTGAAGTGTGGGGTTTCAGTTTAATTTTAGTTCATTTGATGAACGGTTTTGTTAGTTTTAGTTTAGTTTTTATTGTGAGAACACAAATCTTATTCAGTTGTATATATTTAGTTTCAGTTTTAGTGTCAGTGATGATAGTTTAGCGGAGTTAACAGGACAAAAAATTATCATAAATGAAAATAAAATAATTTTTGAGCAGACATTTAACCCAAAACCCCATCAAATGTATAAAAGTAAAAACTATGAATAATTTACACTAATTTCTTCATATTAGAGATGATGTAAAGTTAAACACGCTGGCAGATTAAAAAAACTTTTTATGTATTTTTTTTTGTTTGTGTATAAAGGCTGGTTTATACTTCTGCATCGAGCGATCGCCATGACCCACGGTGCAAGCCTTGCACTTATACTTCTGCTTGCTGTTTTTGTTGCTCTGCATTAACACTTCCGAAACACTAGCTGGCTGTAGATTTTTATGTTCCTCTATGTCATGTTTCTTTGCGGGTGTTTTTTTTTTCTGAATGCAACCATAAGTCACAAGTAGCTAAAACTTGTTCATTCAGAGGCGGGAACCGGCGGACGTGCAACAACTTTAATCATACAAGTAAAAACAAAACATTCTCCTTTACGGGACATGAAACTTGTTAATACTCACTCATTCAGGCTCGCGGGTCTCAGCACCACCCACATTTGGCACAGCTACCAAGCCCACCAATCACAAAGCTTGTGCTACTCAACGTTACGATGTGTAGTTAAATTTTTTGAAAGGCGCATGTCAGTCATGGCGAGGGCTATGCAATCAGGCGAAGGCTTAGCCGGACCGTATGTGTGCATTTGACATAGAAGTATAAATCAACCTAAAGCGTGTTTGACTATACAAGCGCCATCTACTGGCATTCCCTATATTCCGGCCACAGAATGAGTGCTAATTAATGATGATAACAGTTATATTTTTGGCGAAATGTTATTTTATTTCAGTTCGATTTTTAATTTCTGCTCATAGTTTCATTTAATTAATTTTTATTTTGTCTTCAGTTAACTAAACAGATTTTTGACTAATAAATTGAGTCTTCTTTTTAGTTTTGTTTACTAAAATAACCTTGAGTACAAGCTTATTAAATGCAGGTAAAGTGTGTGTTTCAAATAATCCATATAAAAACACTATAATAAACTATTGTAAATACCATAGTGTTTTTGAACCATACTATAATAAAGTACTTGAATTATTCTGTTGTGGTGATTTTATAGTTGCTATGGCAACACAACAACTGTTGTAATATAAACAAATTACACTGTAGTTTCCTACAATGATAGGAGATGTCATGCTACAGCACACCACAGTTTACAAAGCTGAAGTACACTACAGTATTTGTTACAGTTTATTAGTTCACTATAGTTAACACTAGAATATGCTGAAGCATTCTTTAAAAACATTGTAGATACTATATTATATATCTTTAAAAACACTTTAAATGAACTAAAAATTACTATTGTATTTTTTTTCCTGTGCAAACTTTTGTTAAAATAGTAATGTTGATTATTATATTGTCCAATTATGTTGACTCAACATTCACACATGACGTGCCATCCCTGCTGAAAAATCCAGCTTAAACCAGCCTAGGATGGTTGGCTGATTTTATATGGTCGACCAATCTGGTTTTAGAGGGATTTTGGTCATTTCCAGGCTGGTTTCCAGCCATTTCCACCCTGGTCTTAGCTGGTCAGGCTGGGAGATGACCAGCTAAAACCAGCTTGACCAGCCTAGCCAGGCTGGAAGCCCTGGCTCTGGCACATACAGCCATATCAGGGGTAAAACCCTCAAAAACCCTTAAGTTTCTCAAAATGTTCTGTTATTTTTGATAATTATAGTTACATTTTTGAGTAAGCATTTTTATATTATTCTGTAAGCTACTAATGACAGTTTTCTCATTTTAAATTACATGTCTTTACATTTTTTAATGTATTTAGTAATTTAGGGCTTTACTTTGGCTGTTGAATAACCTAATAAATAAATATAGTTTTAAATTTGCAAGATTTTTTGCAATACAAACTGTTACCCTCAATGTCATGTGTTTTTATTTTCTTTAAATCATAGTAAAAATAAATAATAATCATTATAATTTAAATATTAAACCAGAATGTACATAATGTACTCTAATTTACAGTAAAAAAGTAAACATGTATAACACTTTAATAGTTTTCATCTTTGGCCTACATGCAAAAACATCAGACAGACAGAAGCATGTCTACATCATGATCCCCATTGTCTGGTTACAAACTTCCAAACAAATCAATCACACTGATAATCAAACGAATCCCACTTCCCCAATAGAGCTGAGCTCGTAAATCACAGAAAGAGGAAAATAAAAAAAAATTCCCTCTCTACCGCTTTAGGGAGAAATCATTCCCTTCATTTTCAGGTGTGTGTTTCTGTCCCTGGTGTACATTTAATACCCTCAGGATTGACAGAAGCTCATTTTTCAACAGCTAAACAAGAAAAGCTGTGCAAATACTCGACTAGTAACTACTGTGTCTTTCTATTTTTGCAGACGGAGGAGAAATCACAATCCGAGGTGAGGACTTGGTTTTTCTTTTCGCAAAAACAACACACACATATGGCCCCACACATACCTCTGAGCCATGTTTATTCACCAGCATTGACCTGTTGTGAACACAAACTGAGGGCGGATTCAGGGCGGGATCTGATTTCACCGCATGTCTCTGTGATCTTTACATCCACCTGTGCAATTCTGTACATACACCTGCAAACTGTTTCCCCTCTTTGATACCAAATCACAAAGTTCCCTTTCCACCACACACACACACCTGGATCCCTTGTGTTTCCTCTTCTTTTCATGTGCACTTTTTCTTTTATTCTTCCTCAACCTATTTTTTTCTCTCTCTCCTTCAGATCCGCAAGCTGCGTCGAGAGCTGGATGCGTCCCAGGAAAAGGTTTCCGCTTTGACGACGCAACTCAGTGCTAATGTAGGTGGACACGGAGGCATTCATTCTTTTATTATATCTAAAGGCCATCATTTATTCCCAATTCAGGATCTGGTGTCAGTTGTCATCCTGAGGCGTCATCTAAATGGTGTTATCGTAATCCTAGTGACGCCTGTGCGGGTTGAGTAGTTGATTAATGTCAGCGTCGATCATGACCTCATCGGAGTTTCCAGTTGTCATTGCGTTCATACAAAAGCGCTACGTCTACTGTATTGGCCATTGTGTATTTGTAATACAGTTTCCCTTTGCTTAACGTGTGCATACCCGTGTAGATAAACCTGTTCTGTTTTAAGTGGTTACACTGTAAAAAGGGATTAGTTACTTTATTTAAAAAGTGTGTAAACTCATTGCCGCAAAAAAGTTGACTAAAAATTTGCAAACTTAATGCCAGTGTTGTGTAAGTTACTTTAAAAATAGTAATCGATTACAAATTACATGTATTACTACTGGGCAATTGTAATCTGGTTACGTTACTAAATACTTAAATAAATAAATAAGAAATCAGATTATTAATTACTTTTTTTTGAAGTTACTTTTAAAACGTGTAAAACCTATAAAAATGCTCAATAATCTGCGGCTCTTTCAGTAGTTTAATATTCACTGATAAACATTACACTGGGTTGATCACAGCAGCTTGACATACTCAAAATACTTAAAGAGTTCACCCAAAACTTAAATTTCTCTCATCGTTTACTTGTTCCAAACCCGTTTGTCTTTTTTTTTTTTAACACAAAAGAAGACATTTAGAAGAAAATCGGATACCTGTAATCATTGACATCCATAGTATGCGAAAGCAGTGCAGTGTTTGGGTGTTCTGTGTATGTCTGAGGTAATTAGTGTAGCGAAATGTCTATATTCTATAAAAGCATGAAGCTGATTGGCCAGTTCTTGTCTCAAGATTGTTTCAGTTCTTGTGTTGTCTTGACTTGCGGGTTTCAGCTGGTGCACCTGGAAAATATGAGAATGCGCAAAATGCGCTCTGAATATGTGTGCGCAAGCCACGCGGCCTCATTGGTGAATGAACTTGCGTGCGCAAAAGATATCAAAAAGATGATGTGAACGGCCCCATAAGCAGCTACACTTCTCTTCACAGTCAGAAGATATCTTCACTCCCAATCCTGCACAAAAATTCAATGTTCAATAATAAAAAAAAAATCTATGCTACAAATACTATACACTCATCGGCCACTTTATTAGGTACAATAGTCCTACTGCATGTTAACGCAAATTTATAATCAGCCAATTAAATGGCAGCAACTCAGTGCATTTAGGCATGTAGACATGGTCAAGACGATCTGCTGCAGTTTAAACCGAGCATCAGAATGGGGAAGGTGATCTAAGTGACTTTGAATGTGGCATGGTTGTTGGTGCCAGATTGGCTGGTGTGAGTATTTCAGAAACTGCTGATCTACTGGGATTTTCACGCACAATCATCTCTAGGGTTTACATAAAATGGTCCAAATAATAGACAATGTCCAGTTAACAGCAGTTCTGTGGGCACAAATGCCTTGTTGATGCCAGAGGTCAGAGGTGAATGGCCAGACTGGTTCCAGCTGATAGAAAGACAACAGTAACTCAAATAACCACTCGCTACAATACAATAGAGCACCCTTGGGATGTGGTGGAAAGGCAGATTCACATCATGGATGTGCAGCTGACAAATCTGCAGCAACTGCGAGATGCTATCTTGTCAATATGGACCAAAATCTCTAAGGAATATTTCCAGTACATTGTTGAATCTATGCCACAAAGGATTAAGGCAGTTCTGAAGGTAAAAGGGGGTCCAACCCGGTGCGGTAAGGTGTATCTAATAAAGTGGCCAGTAAGTGTAAATCTCATGCTCTGAGATCTCAGTTATAGTGATGAAAAATAGGTAAAGTTTTCAGTAATAACCACATTTATATGAAATTAATTCAAATTGTGAGATATAGTATTTGTTAAACTGTAAACTTCAAGTCATATTATGAGGCTTTGAGCTACTTTGAACTATGAGCTACTTTATGAAATATACTGCAATCATGAGAAATCAAGTACACTCTGTATTGGTGTAGATTTGTAAAATACTGCGTGACTACACAGAGATACTCAAGTCAGAACAGATATGTGTCGTTTGCACCAGAGAAAACATACTGTGTTTGATTGTATGTTTTATGGCTATAGACAAAGGGGAGCACAAACTGCGTTCAGTGTTTTTGATATGTCCTGCTTAAGATAAAAGCATGTGTAAATCACAAAGTCTTTTCTGCCCAAGGCAATGTAATCCTGTCATGTAAGAACAAACTAGACATGATTTTCAGAGCTACTTAACAAAAGAGGTCTTCAAATGAGCACTAAAAAGACCAGATTTTCCATTTTCATGTGTACATAACAGTTTCTGACGTAACACCATTACCTTGTCAACTTCTTGAGTACAATGACTATTTTTGACAGGCGCTGAATGAGGTTAATTTAAAGTACATGTGTAATATGTTTGCAGATTGCTGTTTTACTTTGCTTTTATGCAGACACACACTGAAAAAAAAAAAGATTTTTTCATTTGTTTGAGGGTCGGCGCGGTGGCGCAGTGGGTAGTGCTGTCACCTCACAGCAAGAAGGTCCCTGGTTCGAGGCTCGGCTGGGTCAGTTGGCATTTCTGTGTAGAGTTTGCACGTTCTCTCGTGTTTGTGTGGGTTTCCTCCAGGGGCTCCGGTTTCACCCACAAGTCCAAAGACATGCGGTATTGGTGAACTGGGTATTCTAAATTTTCCGTAGTGTATGTCTATGAATGAGAGTGTATGGATGTTTCCCAGTGATGGGTTGCAGCTGGAAGAGCATCCCCTGCGTAAAACATATGCTGGATAAGTTGACGGTTCATTCCACTGTGGTGCTCCCTGATTAATAAACAGACTAAGCCTTTAGGAAAATGAATGAATGAAGTTTGAACATTTTTAGATCGTGAAGTAAAGTAAAATGTCACCCATCTGTCCTACTGTACCCATCTCAGTCTGAGCTGTGGATCGAACCGGCGATTCTTTGCATGGGAGTCGGTTGCTCTAACAAGTAGGCTAAAGACCGTGGCCTCTAGCGTCTGTTCAGAGGAGTGAGGTTTACTTGCATTGCACTTTGCTAGCTGGACTACTTTACACTCACTCACCTCACTCCCATCCCGGACGAGCCCCCACATGTTACCCATCAGTCCTACCTCACCCAACCCAGTCTGAGCTGGGATCGAACCAGAGTTTCTTTGCATGGGAGTCAGTTGCTTCAACATGGAGTGAGGTTTACCTGCATAGCACTTTGCTAGCTGACCTCAAAACAAATTTTGTTTTCAGAAATAAGTCAAAATTCAAATGTTTTCTTTTTAGAACAAGCAGAATAATCTGCCAATGGGGTAAACGTGTTTTTGGTTTAAATAAGATTATTGTGCTTACTCCATTGGCAAATTATGCTTGATAAAATGAAGAAAAAACTTTAGATTTTTGTATAAAAAAAGGAGAAAGAGATAAAAAAAAAAGTACCTGTTCTGATCGAAAGTTCTGAAATAAATAAAACCATAAGTGATCATAATGAACTGTATTATATTTTAAAAGATTAAAACCTCCTGTCAACAAATTACAAATATATATATATATATATATATATATATATATATATATATATATATATATATATATATATATATATTTATATATATATATATATATATATATATATATATATATATATATATATATTTATATATATATTTTTTTTTTTTTATTTTTTTTTATGACAATTAAATAGTATTTTAGGGCTCTCAAATTAATTAAATTGTATTTTTAGACTTTTATTATGTCAATAATATAAATAACAAAATCGTAAATAACATTCGTGACCATATTTGGTATATAAACTAAATTTGTTTGGTAATTCTGTAAGTCAAGGTGTTTAAATTTAATTTTAAATCATTTTTATTTTTTATTTTGACTGATTCTGACAAGCAAAACAGTATTTACTTGTCTAAAAATGCTTCTTTATGTATGGATTTTTACATATTTTAAACTAATCAATTATATTAAAATTGTAATTAAAATACATAAATTAAAAACAACACAAAAACTTTTAAGAATAGCATTTTATTGCAGTAAACCCGTTTTTTGCTGGCTTTCCAGTTACTTAAGAGTGAGAAATATCCAAAACGAAAAAAAACAATAAGCACTTGAGACGTCAGTGAAACATGTCAAGGCCTCAGGCGGCTTCTCTGCTTTGTCTGTCTCAGTTATCAGTATTAGGAGGAGCTTCTCATCTTAATATAACGCTGTAGTTGTGCTTATCTGAAGCTCGGCTATCTATGGAAGAGCAGAGGAGCTGTAGAGATGTTTGTTCTGACGGGATCGGCCCTCTTGTGTGGCTCCCTTTGAACCGCTACCCTTCCCATGGGTGCGCAGAGAAACACGCTCTCCTTCACAAAGAAAAATACAGACAAAAAGGCTTTACAGAGACTAATGACAGCCAGCAGGAGCCTCTTGGATGCGAGGTGAGGCGATGACCCTGAAAAAGCTGTTTTTTTTAAACAGAGAAGAGTTTTACTTTGTTGATGGTATTTTATTTCAGATATCTTGCGAGAATTAAAACAAATTGGTTAGTATTAAAGAAAAAGTTCAATTAAAACTTGTGTCATCTAAACAGTTTGAGATACTTTGAACATTTTACAAGAAGGCCTATTTTTTGTTAAACAGACTGTTAAAATACATTTGTTTAAAAAGTGTGATTGTTTTATTTTTGTTTTTGTTATTTGTTGTTATTTATTAAGAAAATGGGTTAACTCACTTTTGAAAGTAAAGTCAACTTGTGTGAGGCAATGGGTTTCTCAACTTTTTTAAGTAAAGTCAACTCTTTTAAGGCAATGAGTTTACAAACTTTTTAAGTAAATTCAATTCTTGTAAGGCAATGGGTTTACTCAACTTTTTAAAGAAAAGTCAATTCTTGTAAGGCAATGGGTTTACTCACTTTATTAAGTAATGTCAACTATTGTAAGACAATGGGTTTGCTCACTTATTTAAGCAAAGTCTACTTGTGTATGGCAATGGGTTTACTCACTTTTGAAAGTAAAGCCAACTTGTGTAAGGCAATGAGTTTCTCAACATTTTAAAGTAAAATCAACTCTTTTAAGGCAATGAGTTTACTAAATTTTTAAGTAAAGTCAACTTTTGTAAGAAAATGGATTTACTCACTTTTTAAAGTAAAGTCAACTCTTGAAAGGCAAATGGTTTCTCAACTTTTTAAAGTAAAGTCAACACTTGTAAGGCAATGAGTTTACTCAATTTTAAAGTAAAGTCAACACTTGTAAGGCAATAGGTTTACTCACTTTATTAAGTAAAGTCAACTTGTGTAAGGCAATGGGTTTACTCACTTTATTAAGTAAAGTCAACTTTTGTAAGGCAATGGGTTTACTCACTTTATTAAGTAAAGTCAACTTGTGTAAGGCAATGGGTTTACTCACTTTATTAAGTAAAGTCAACTTTTGTAAGGCAATGTGTTTACTCACTTTATTAAGTAAAGTCAACTTTTGTAAGGCAATGTGTTTACTCACTTTATTAAGTAAAGTCAACTTGTGTAAGGCGATGGGTTTACTCACTTTATTAAGTAAAGTCAACTTGTGTAAGGCAATGGGTTTACTCACTTTATTAAGTAAAGTCAACTTGTGTAAGGCAATGGGTTTACTCACTTTATTAAGTAAAGTCAACTTTTGTAAGGCAATGGGTTTACTCACTTTATTAAGTAAAGTCAACTTGTGTAAGGCAATGGGTTTACTCACTTTATTAAGTAAAGTCAATTTTTGTAAGGCAATGTGTTTACTCACTTTATTAAGTAAAGTCAACTTGTGTAAGGCGATGGGTTTACTCACTTTATTAAGTAAAGTCAACTTGTGTAAGGCAATTGGTTTACTCACTTTATTAAGTAAAGTCAACTTGTGTAAGGCAATGGGTTTACTCACTTTATTAAGTAAAGTCAACTTGTGTAAGGCAATGGGTTTACTCACTTTTTTAAGTAAAGTCAACTTTTTTAAGGCAACGAGTATACTCACCTTTTTAGTTAAAGCCAAATTTTGTATGGCAATGGGTTTACTCACTTTATTAAGTAAAGTCAGCACTTGTAAGGCAATGAGTTTACTTACCTTTTTAGGTAAAGCCAAGTTTTCAAGATAATGGGTTAGCTCATTTTTTAGGTAAAGTCAACTCTTGTAAGCAATGGGTTTACTCACCTTTTTAAGTAAACAAACAATGAAGAATATTTTCATCTTAGTAAATGTTAACTACTGTGATGTTGGTCAATAATGTAATGGATTCTTAATGTGAAGTGAGTTTATTTTGATAGAAAAGTTTCTAACAAAAGTTTTACTAAAAAGTTTTTTCAGTTTTTGGAAAATAAAATGGCAAAATATGTGTAAAACCATAATATTGTTTTATAATAAAATATATAAAACTATAAGTAATCCTAATAAATTGTATTGTCTTTTAAATGATTATAAAGCACATATTTAAAAATGACAAAAAAAACAACATAAATTTAAAATGGCATAATTTTTGTTTTATACTTAAATAGTGTATTTTATTATGTCATCAATTTATTCTTGTTATAATATGCTTGACCATTTTTTTGGTGTATAAAATGCTTTTACACCAATTGGGTGTCCGTTTCTGTAACTCATGGTAGTAAAGCAGTAATTTCAAATCTAATATTGATATTATGGCCAGGAGAAATATTTGAGATATAAAAAAATAATTAATATTTTCTTTTATTTCCCATGAGAAGAATTAGATTCAGAGAGAAACATAAATTGAACTGAGACTGTAAATATGAATCTGTTGTTGCTTGGTGGTCTGGGATACGGGCCAGAGTTTATATTGCACGTCTAAGTGTTTGATTAAAGATAAAGGTTGTTATTTAGTAAGTTTAAGCTTCAATGCTTTCTGCAGAACATTTCAATGAGCAATCATCTCCCACACAGGTCACGCAGTTCATGTTTTAAGCAAAATGTGTTTGTCACATTTAACCTCCTTAAAGGGAGATTGCCCAATGTATATTATGAATAGTGTGTTATGACGCATACATGCATGCAAATGAAAAATAAACGGTATTTTGTCTTTGAATGAATCGTTTTTCCATGTTTACACTAGTCTCTCTTGTCCTGTTCTTCTTTTCAGGCCCACCTGGTGGCAGCGTTTGAGCAGAGTTTGGGCAACATGACCATCCGACTCAAGAGCCTGACTATGACCGCGGAACAAAAAGTAAATATGAACACTCTTAGTTCACACAGAAGGCATTTTCTTTTTTTAACGCATTACTATTCTATTGTGTTTCAATCAAAATTACAGCTGAACTAATTGCTATAAAGATGCCTTGCTGCTGACATGGATTCAGTAATAGTCTAATAGAGAATATTGTGTTTGTGATTTTTTTTTTCTAATATTAGGACTCTGAACTGAATGAGTTGAGAAAAACCATTGAGCTGCTAAAGAAGCAGAACGCAGTGGCTCAAGCAGCGATTAATGGTGTCATCAACACTCCAGAACTCACCTGCAAGAGTGAACGAACAGGTGAGAGAGAGAGAGAGAGAGAGAGAGAGAGAGAGAGAGAGAAATAATCCATCAAGACATGCAGTTCAATTAATGTCAACAAACTCACCACAATCATATGACATTTGAAGTGACCTAAATGAGTTCTTTATCTTATTTGATGCATTGATTTATGGTCGTTTTTGAGCATTCTGTATTGTGTACTTGTCAAACATTAGTACATAAGAAGGTTTGAAGTGCTCCTTTTTATGCTGTTTTAGAGGGTCTTCATTTTGTTTTGGAGATCACAAAACACTTAATTTTTATATAATATGTATAATTTTATAATCATTTTTTAGAATTTCATAAAAAATTATTTGATAAGTGAAATTATTATATTATACTATATATGTATTATACTATTATATGATAATATAATATACACTGAGAAAAATATTGATGCTATACAATACTATGATACATAAACATGTATGCTTATATTATATTATATTATATCATATTATATTATATTATATTTTTAATTTTATTAATTTTAATTAATTTTAAATGGATAATATAGTCAACAGTTGACTGGAATGTAGGGACAGGCATTATTTTGTTATTTAAATTACACATAATACAAAAAAATTTAAGTTTTATACTATTGTTTGTAGAAAAATTGTAGAGTAAATACACCAATAAATGACAATTATACAACTGAAGCTGAATGTATGATTTAGGAGGCGAATATAGACAAAATAAGTCTTTAAGTTCATATTTTTCATCACAAAATGTCCATATATACACATCCAAACAATATTTTTAGAGATAGCTTGATATAATTTATTATTCAAAACTGTTTGATTAAAGATGCTTTTTCATGTGTTTTCTTTTTAAACATTGTCATATTGACAACACACTTAATACACAAATACACTTCATTGAACAAGTACACATAGACCACATCACCTTTTGTAAAGCTGCTTTGAAACAATATTTATTGTCAAGTTTATCTATACAAATAAATTTTAATAGAATGAAATTGGCATTGTCAGACGTTCTCGTATATTGTTATAGTTTTATCGCTTTTGATGCCAGCTAAAATTCTTCTCTGTTTGTCAGGTAATAACGGTTCAGGGCTGGGAGCGCCGCCGGACCTGCGCATGCGCAGACAGCACTCGTCTGACAGCGTCTCCAGCATCACCAGTGCCACCAGTCACTCCAGCCTGGGCTCCAACATGGACAACCCCGACTCCAGCAGCAAGAAGAAGAAGAAGAACTGGGTGAGCCAACACACACTTCTCGTGTCAATGTCCGACAACTGTCTAATCATTGCTAATCATTGTGTTGTGTTTCCGCATTCTACCTTTATCTGTGTCTAACATTTGTCTTTTGTGTTTTTGTGTTATAATGCCTAACACAAATAAACAAGCATCGAGTGTCTCAACAAAAATATTATGGATTATACCTAAAAATTAAAATGAGTTTAGATGCAAAAACCTCTAAATGCTAGAAAAGCCAGAAGTTTTCTTCTAAATGAATGTTTTTCTCCGCCTCCTATGTTTATGTTTAGTTTTTTTCTTTCACATTAAAGGGAATAAATATAACCTGTTCTATGTTCTATGTAAATTACTGACCCTACATATAGGAACCTGTGAAACATGCTCATTTTAGAAGAAAGATTCAGACGGCACTTAAAGGTTTTTGCATCTAAACTCTTCAAATATATCCAAATAAAAAAGGAAGATATTTTGAAAGAAACATGGAAACTCATTGACATCCATAGTAGAATAAAAAATACTATGAAAGTCAATGGATCGCATTTACTCATTCAAATAGGATTTTTGTAGTGTAAGTTAGTTGAGTTTGTACATAGAGATCAATAATGCTCTTTTTGCTTTGTTGTGTCATGCTGACTGTAGCTGGTGACCTGTGCTGGAGGTGTGGAGTCAGATGATGAATGTGAATACGTATGTTAAATATGAGTCCCAAAGGGTCTCTGAAAAAAAAAAGTATCCCTAAACTGTAGCTCTGACCTGGTATTAGCTTTCCTTGTAGATTTATGTACTATATCACACGACCTTTTATAGCTATACAACTTGTTGGAGACATTACTACTTTAATTCAGTAAGAATGCATTAAATTGCAAGACATTTACAATCTTACAAAAAATATGTTGTTTTATTATTATTTTTTTCTTAAATAAATCCTTTCAGCTTTTCATCAAAACACCTTGAAAAACAATTTGTCCCTCATCCACAAAATTAAGTTAATCTCTGATAACCAGTTAAGGCGGACATACACGGTGTGAATTTTGTTTTTGTAGGACTTCTTACATGTGAAATCATTAATGCTTAAATGGTCGTGGCTCTTTTTGTGTCAGAGGAACTTATAAGCCAATTGGTACACAATTTAGCTCCCGATTATTCTTTTTTTAACCTGTCAAAAAAAAGTTTCTTATTCTACATTAAGATTCTCTTAATGTAGTTTAGTAGTTGTTCCTGTTAGTTTTAGGTAGTTTCAAGTGAAGTCCTGTCCATTGCTGGACACAAACATATACACACACAAACACACACACACACATGGCTGAATGTGCTTCTCTGTCTCTGTTTTCCACTGTGCTGTCGATTCATATGGCAGGTGTATGAGGTAAGAATGTGTTTAGAGAGTCCTGGTTAACCAGCTTCACTAACCTCACTGTCTTCCTGCCCCTGACTTTTCCTGTGCTTTCAATCCGCTTTTCCCTTATTGCCTTTGCTCTGTTTTATTTTACAATAATGTCCTGTTAGTGATTCATGAGTCATTATATTTATTTATGCTTTTAAAAGGATGTTTATCATAGTGTAACAGATGCTAATCTGTAGAAATGTTCTGCCTGTAAGTCCTAAAGCCGAAGGAAGTATATATAGTGAGGATAAGATTGGTTCCAAAATAGAACCCTGAGGAACCCCACATACAACAGGGGGGTGATGGTAGAGGAAAAGTCCCCTAAACTCACTTAGTTGGTTATAAGGTTATTTATTGTGATTTGTTTCACAACCCCGCTCCCTTTCAACACTTTTTTTATTGTTTTTTATGATGAACTTATGATTATTTTATTTTTGTTTGTTTTTGATATTCATATAAAATTATTACCAACTTTATCATTAACAATGTTAATAGCTGTCAAAATAGCTGTAAAAATAAAATGACAGACGTAACCTCACTACATTCAAAATTATACAGTGATTTATAAGTCATTATATTTATTTATTAATGCTTTTAAAAGGATATTTATCTTTGTGCAACACATGGAGGTCTGTAGAAATATTCTGCCTGTAAATCCTAAAGCCGGAGGAAGTATATAAAGCGAGAATAAGATTGGTCCCAAAAAAGAACCCTGAGGAACCCCACATACAATAGGGAGGTGATGGTAGAAAAAAATCCCCTAAACTCACTTATTTGATTATAAGGTTATTTTTTGTGTTTGTTCCACAACCCCACTCCCTTTCACCACTTTTTTATTGTGATTTTTATGATGAATTTAAGATTATTTTGGTTTTTATTTATTTTATTTTTGTTTGGTTTTGATTTTTATATAAAAATATTACCAACGTTATCATTAATTATGATAAAAACTGTCAAAATAGGAGTAAAAATTAAAATTCAGTCTAAACCTCAGTACATTCAAATTTAATTTTGTATCAATTTATGCTTTTAAAAGAATTTTTATCTTAGTGTAACACATGAAAGTCTGTAGAAATATTCTGCCTGTAAGTCCTAAACCCAAAGGAAGTTTATAGAGTGAGAAGAAAAAATTGGTCCCAAAATAGGACCCTGAGGAACCCCACATACAACAGGGGTAATGGTAGAGGAAAAATTCCATCAACTCACTTAGTTTGTCATAAGCTTATTTCTTGTAATTTGTTCTCATACTCTGTTTTTATAATTCAAAAATAAATAAATAAAATGATTAGAATTTCGATTTTATTTTTGTTTGGTTTTGATTTCTATATAGAATTATTTTACAATTAACAATGATGATGACTGTCAAAAAAGCTGTAAAACTAAAACAGCAGTCTAAAGTTCAGCACATATAAAAACTCAGCTTTACCTTCAAACTGCTCGATGTGAATGATGCCCAGCTCTGCCTCTTCATTGTGTGCTGTTTCTCTGTCGTCCTGTTGTGTTCTGCTTCTGCTCATCATTCTGCTGTTTTTCAGTAACTCTAGACTCATGACCTGTCTCTGTTATCATTGCAGCTTCGCAGCTCCTTCAAACAGGCCTTCAGTAAGAAGAAATCCCCTAAATCAGCGTCGTCTCATTCAGACATTGAGGAGATGACCGATTCCTCTCTGCCGTCTTCACCAAAACTCCCTCACAACGGCAGCGGCTCCACGGCTCTGCTGCGCCGCAACACTCACTCCAGTTCAATGTCAGTTTAAATTTAAATATTTATTTGTTTATTTGTTTATGTTTTGTATGCATGTTTGTGAATGTAAAAGGATTGTTAATATTTTTAAAGACTACAATATTTGTTGGGCGGTTCTTAGCCTCTGAGTTGTGCATTTGTAAGCCACTAAATTAAAAAGTTATAAATTGCCATGAGATTGCGTTGGCGTAAAGGGATCAACAGGGGTCTGAATGTAGACCTGATGCAGTGCAGTCTGAGCTGCATTCAATGCTTTTAATGCGTTCACCTAACCCCACACCTAACCCTACCCCTCCCAGAGACGTCTATAGCTTCACTGAGTGTGTCGTGTCTGACATTGCATCACTGAGATATGCAGTCTCAGCTTGCATCATCAAGGTTGCCTCTAGGTACTATTGGAAACTACAAGCTGCAAGTGCTTTTGTTTATTTACCACAAGAGGGCATTAGAGACACTCAAAAACTTGGCATTTAATTAAAACTAAATGCAAACAAATATTTTAATAATTGTTAAGACAATTAAGTAATAAATTAAATCATCAAATATATTTAAAGACCTATATGAATATAATTTTTTTAACACATCTAAATGGACTAATATAAGATTTCTGGACCAATTAAAAAAATAACTACAGTATTGTGTTATCATATGATATATAATATATTTTAATAATATTAAATAATTTCATTAATTAATTAATAGCTGAATGACCAGTATTGGCATAGTGTTATAAATTAAAACTGAATCTGAAATTAGTTAAAATGCTAAATTAACTTGGAGCGGGTGGACTATAGTTTGATATATATTGATAATTAGAAAAAAAAATTTTGTCAATTCTGAACGAAAACTATGGCTTAATTAAAATAAAATAAAATTGTATTTATTTAAAAAGACAACAATAATAATAATAATGATAATGGCAAAGGTACATAATAGAATTACTAAACTGAAATATAAAAATAAAACAAATTTGGAATAAAATTGTGTACATTAAAATACTAATAAATAACTAATAATGCTTTGTGACTGATACTAATGCGCATTTAAGGAGGTCATTAATTTATTATAATTTATAAATTAAATCAGAAATAAAACAAATTAAGACTTTTTTCTAATAAATTTTTAAATAAGGTATTTGTTTTTTCAAAAATTAAATGGTTGTAGATAAATATTGATAAGTAGGACAATGTTTTTATTAAATCTGAACTAAAACTATGACTTACTTAAACTAAAATATATATTAATAAAGACAATAATAATAATAATAATAATAATAATAATAATAATAATAATAATAATAATAATAATAATCACTTATTTATTTATTTTCATTCTGCTTAGTCCTTTATTTAATATTGGTCACCACAGTGGAATGAACCGCCATAATAAGAATAATTTAAAAATAAGTTCAAAGGAACATAATAGAATTACTAAAAAAATGTAATAAAATTTTTTTATATAAATTATAATAAAATACTGCTTCTGTATATTAATGGCACATTTAAGGAGGTCAGGGCTTTGTTTTATAAATAAAAATGCTATTTAAAATTACTTAACTAAATCAGACAAGTTTTTAAATTGCGTATGTGTTGTTGTTTGCAGACTGTCAGACTGTCTGGACGGTGAAGCGGAGACAGTGATGCAGCTGAGGAACGAGCTGAGAGAGAAGGAGATGAAGCTGACAGACATTCGGCTGGAGGCTCTGAGCTCTGCACATCAGCTCGACCAGCTCAGAGAGGCCATGAACCGCATGCAGGTCTGACACACCAATCACATACATTACCCACAATGCCTTATTCTGCAGCAGGGCTTTTAAAGAAAACAGTAGCCAGCATAAACGTACATGATTTTTAGAAAATATTGACAATATATATTGATTTTATTAACATTTTAATTGTAAAATGAAGGTGGTCACTTAATATTTTAGGGTAAGATGTAATTTTATTTCATTTATTCATTTTCTTTTCGGCTTAGTCCCTTTATTTATCTGGGGTTGCCAAAGCGGAATGAACCACCAACTTATTCAGCATATGTTTTACGCAGCGGATGCCCTTCCAGCTGCAACCCATCACTGGGAAACAACCATACACACTCATTCACACACACACTACGGACAATTTAGCTTAACCAATTCACCTACTGCGCATGTCTTTGGACTGTTGGGGAAACCGGAGCACCCGGAGGAAACCTACGCGAACACGGGGAAAACATGCAAACTCCACACAATAATGCCAACTAACCCAGCCGAGGCTCAAACCAGCGACCTTCTTGCTTTGAGGCAATTGTGCTACCTACTGCGCCACCGTGACGCCCCTTTTTTATTTTATTTGTTTTATTTGATTTTATTATATATATATATATATATATATATATATATATATATATATATATATATATATATATATATATATATATATATATATATATATATATATACATATATATATATATATACATATATTTATTTATTTATTTATTTATTTGTTTATTTATTCATTTATTTATTTTTCAAATGCTATCTATATATATTTAGGAACTTGTACTAAGGAAAACAAAACAAAACATACAAAATCACAGTATTAAAAAAAAAATTATAAAAATTATAAACAAGCAAAAAAACGGAGGAAACCGGAGCACCCGGAGGAAACCTACGCGAACACGGGGAAAACATGCAAACTCCACACAATAATACCAACTAACCCAGCCGAGGCTCAAACGAGCGACCTTCTTGCTTTGAGGCAATTGTGCTACCCACTGCGCCACCGTGACGCCCCTTTTTTATTTTATTTGTTTTATTTGATTTTATTATTATATATATATATATATATATATATATATATATTTATTTATTTATTTATTTATTTTTCAAATGCTATCTATATATATTTAGGAACTTGTACTAAGGAAAACAAAACAAAACATACAAAATCACAGTTTTAAAAAAATATTATAAAAATTATAAACAAGCAAAACAAATAAATAATAAATAAATAAATGATGTTGTTGTTGTTGTTGTTGTTGTTGTTGTTGTTGTTGTTGTTGTTGTTGTTGTTGTTGTTTACACTTTATTGTTCCCAATGGGGAAATTTGTCTTGGACCTTAGGTCCACATTTGCAAAAACAAAAAACACAATTCAACACAAACATTCAATCATCAACACAAATATTACATTTTTAAAAATCTGATTGATGTTGGTAAAAAAATATTCCCTAAAATGGTTTTATCTGCACACAGGCAGCCTGTATTGTTGACCATAAAAATAAATAAATGCATGTACATACACATACAATATTAAGGTATCAAAACAATCTTGTTATTTTAATAGTTTTATTCTAAAATAATAGTTTGGTCACTTAATATTTTATGGTAAGACAGAATTTTATTTTATTTAAAATTGAATTTTCTTCTTTGCAATTAAAAAAATAATAAAAAATTCAACTGAAACTAATATTTTTTATGAATATCCTTCTTGATTTTCTTTTTTTTAATTTAAATTTTATTTGCATCAGGATTTTGTCATAGTCCTTTACATTTTGGCTGTGCTACTGACTAGTTTATTATAAAACCAATAACCAGATTTGCACAAATACTGTATAGAATCCTAGAGAAAGAGTTCGTTTAAAAATGAGTTAAGTGAGAGTCTTTATTTGATTATTTTGATTATTATTATTTTTAGTTATCATTATAATAATAATCAATATTAGGCGAGGCAGTGGCGCAGTAGGTAGTGCTGTTGCCTCACAGCAAAAAGGTCGCTGGTTCGAACCTCGGCTCCGTTGGTGTTTCTGTGTGGAGTGTGCATGTTCTCCCTGCCTTTGCGTGGGTTTCCTCCGGGTGCTCCGGTTTCCCCCACAGTCCAAAGACATGCGGTACAGGTGAATTGGGTAGGCTAAATTGTCCGTAGTGTATGAGTGTGTGTGTGAATGTGGGTGTGGATGTTTCCCAGAGATGGTTTGTGGCTGGAAGGGCATCCGCTGCGTAAAAACTTGCTGGATAAGTTCATTCTGCTGTGGCGACCCCGGATTAATAAAGGGACTAAGCCGACAAGAAAATGAATGAATTATAATAATAATCATTATTATTATTCTTTGTCAGGTTGTTCTCATTTCTGCTGTTCACTGAACATGTTTTGTGTGTGTGTTCTGACAGGGGGAGATCGAGAAGTTAAAGTCAGAAAATGATCGTCTGAAGGTTGAGAGTCACGCGAGTGGGAGCCGAGCATCATCTCAGGTGTCAGTCTATAACCCCACACCGACCCCCACGCCAGGCCTATCCCAACACAGCCTCAACCTCACAGAGTCCACCAGCTTCGGTAACAATTCTCATGTTTTATCTGATCTGGTGAAATACTTATCAGTCTCTTTAGGATTTTAGAAGCACGTGATTTTAAGGAATCGTTCACCTCACAATTTTAACCCGTTTATCCATTTTTTTTACCACAAGAGGGCAACAGAGACACCCAAAAACTTGATTTTGAAAATTTATTTATTTATTTTTTTGGCTTAGTCCCTTTATTAATCTGGGGTTGCCACAGCAGAATGAACTGACAACTTATGCAGCATATGTTTTACACAGCGGATGCCCTTCCAGCTGCAACCCATCACTGGGAAAATGTTTTTTTTTTTTTTAGAAAACTCTCCAAAATTGGACCGACGAATCATGCTGCTTTTTAAAGTGTGTTTTGTTAGGAAGAATAATGCAGTGTGTGTGTTTTCAGACATGTTGCTGGATGACTCTGGTGGAGACGGAAGCTCTCGCAAAGAAAGCAGACATGTGAAAATAGTCGTCAGTCTTCAAGAGGACGTCATGTGGAAAGAGGTTTGACATTTTGGCCCATTTTGAAATAAAGTGTCTTTTGAGAAAGTTTTATTTTCATGCTTCTCACAGAAATGTCTCATCAAAAACACTTTGCACTGAGAAAATTAGGCACGTTTTTAATACTTAAAATTTTATGCAATTAGATCATTTTACTCTAAACTTTATTTTAGCACATGTGAGTTTAGTTGTAATGGTGTGTTTTCTGTCTCTTGCAGGACTGCAGGACTCGACACTTTCTCATTGGCTGCATTGGTGTGAGTGGAAAAACCAAGTGGGATGTTCTCGATGGAGTTGTACGGCGCTTGTTTAAGGTAAATACATTTATAATAATTATTTGATGAGGATGAGTCATTTACATTACATTGAGAACATAAAAATATGTGAAAATGTGTGAAATATTTGTATTTATCACTCCACTGACTTTTACATTGAAGAATGTTAGCATATTGGTCTGTAAGATTCCATTCTAGCAGCCCAATGACAGAATCCGATGAATGGTCGAAAGTTTAAAAACTTCTTTAGTGCTTTTAAAAGGAATTCTGTTATTTATTCGGTTTTATTTATATTTGTTTTCAGCCATATTTAATCTGACTCCAATTTTAAGTGATCATCAAATTTATACTGGAATCCTTTAATCAGTTTAGTTTTGATTTATATCTTATCCATTATCCACTCTTTAGTTATTCATTAGGGACCCAATGCCGCACAGTGTTTTCACGCCATTTGTGTGTTTCTCATGAACATTCTGAAATTAGTCAGAGGATGCAGGGTTAACTAATACCCAATTAATCAATTAAGTTGCCTCCTGATCACTCGAAAAAGCGTAGTTGATTTAATCATGTCCATACAACTGGCTAAATCAGCTATGACCAGAAATTGAATAGTCTCCAAGCTGAAGTGCCTACTGCACCAAACAGTTTTGTGCAATTCTTTTGGATATCATCTACACAGTATCACGTTTGCACCAGATTCAACATAATCTACTGGATATAAAAGATTTCAGGAGAATTCAGAATACATCAAAATTGAACACTTTATTTTCCAGATGAAAGTCTATCATGCCAATAGGGTATATGCCAAGCTAATGCTGTTCCCATGCTGATACACTTCCGGTGACCTGTTATTGTGAACTTTTTTCCATTTTATACGGTTCCTTATACAGCATCGATGTTATAATGTCATTAAAATACATTCAGTTAAATAAACTTTAGCATTTATTTGCTTGCTTAAGCGTAAAACGAGACAAAAAGCTGTTTACTGGTACGCGTCCATCAAAATCGGCAGGCTAACGCAGAAGCTCCACTGAATATACTGGGGTAAAATAAATGCTCATATTATAAAGATATGGCGGGGGAAAATGTAATTTAATGCAGTACTTCTTGTACAATCTGAGACCCACTTTAAATCGGATATCACTCAGCTAGTGGAGATCGCTGATTTTTAAAGAAAACAGACCTTAAACGCACCGGATTTTGCATTGGCATTCAATTCGCCGGAAGCGCTTAACCCAGGTTACTGGCAAATTAAAAGTCCTATTAGCATGCTTCGGCATATGTTCTATTACAGAATCAAATAATAAAAGCCAACTCAGAAGCAAATGCACAACATCAAATACTCAAAGATAAATCTAAGAGTGTAGATGGAAGTCTGGATACAGACTAACAACCCTGAGACATTTTGTCCTTCTCTATAATGCCCTGTGAGAGCAATAAATGATTATTTTGTTAAAGTTATCCAGTGACTTAAAGATTTACTCAGCTGTTGGGATTTTATCAAAAATATTAAGCAAAATCTTGTTAAAAGTCACACTAACAAAGAGCATCCATAACAGAGGGAAAGGAAAGTTCAGGAAAGAGGGCAAGAATGTGTCTAAGTCTATCCTGGGCCTTTTCTTTTGTTTCATTACAGGACACATTTACAGTAAGTCTGAGTAAAATCCGTCCTTACAAGTCTATATATATATTGTTGTTTCATTTGGGCATTTAAAATCGATTGGGTAAATATACTTAGTCGTCCAAACTCATTAAGGCTACAGGTAGAGAGGTGAAGCTCACATAAAACATCTCCATCAAACACATTTCTTTAGACTTGCAATTTGCTTTTGCATTATACAATTATTTTTTTGTGTGCAACAGTTTTTCTTATTAAATTCACAGAATTTATATGTAGGACTACAGCATTAAAGGTTTTGTTCTTAAATAATAAAATAATACATAGAATCTGGATGCATTAAATAACTACATAAAGTACAATAAATATTAATTTCTAATATACATTATAAAATAAATATAAATATGAATTAATATATAATTTATATAAAATATGAATACAAAAATATACATACATAAATATAGGGGGGGGGGGTAATTTTGCTGTAAATAATGTTGATCATGTGACTGTCTGCAGGAGTACATCAGGCACGTGGATCCGGTCAGTCATCTGGGTCTGGGCTCAGACAGTGTTGAAGGTTATCGTATTGGAGATGTGGTTCGGTGCAGCGGAGCCAACACTCCTGAACTGCTGCCCTGTGGATACCTAGTAGGAGAGAACGACACCATCAACATCTCCCTCAAAGGTGCACAATCAAAGCAAAACTTCATTTATCATCATCATCATCATTTCTTAAAATTGTCTCTAGTTGTAAATGTGCTGCTTTGATGTTTTGTTTTGCTGTGCTTTTTATACTTTGTTTTTTACTGTCGAACGCTTGTTTTGTTTAGTTTTTATTGTTTTGTTTATTGTTTCATCTTATTTCGTTTTTTATTTGTTGTTTTGTTTTGCTGTTCTGATTTCATATTTTTTGTTTATTGTTTAGTCTTATGTAGTTGTTTTGGTTTGTTTAAATTTTTTTTGTTTATTGTTGTGTAGTTTTTTGTTTTGTTTTGTCCAAAATGTCTGTTGTCGTTAAGGTATGCGTTTCTCTTATTTCAGGGGTGAACTCTCAGTCGCAGGATTCTCTGGTGTTCGAGACGCTGATTCCTAAACCAATGCTGCAGCGATACGTGTCTTTGCTCCAAGAGCATCGCAGGATCATCCTTTCAGGCCCGAGTGGCACAGGAAAATCCTACCTGGCACACAGACTGGCTGAACATCTGGCACTGCAAGAGGGCAAACTGCCTAGTGACAGCAACATCGTCACCTTTAACGTCGACCATAAATCCAGCAAGGTGAAATTGTGCATTTTATTTTGTTTCGATGTCATTGTTGTGTTTTTGTTTTTATTTTGTTTTTTGTTTTGCTTTTTTGTTTTATTTTGTTTTGTTACATTTTTTGTTTTGTTGCATTTTTGTTTTGTTGCTTTTTTTGTTTTTGTTTTGTTGCAGTTTATTTTGTTTTGTTGCATTTTTGTTTTGACTTTTTGTTTTGTTTTTGTTGAATTGTTTTGTTTTAATGTTGTTGCATTTTTGTTTTGTTGTGTTGCATTTCTGTTTTAATTTATTGCATGTTTTAGTTGGGTTTTATTTTGTTTTGTGTTTTATTTGTTGCATTGTTTTGTATTGTTTCGTTTAGCCACATATAAATCAAACTTTTAAATCTAAAGAGTACTAAGTTTTTGTTTTTATGAAGAATTCGCATCCATATTATAATAATCCATGCTTTGTGGAGTCAATATTTACTTCTAATATAATATTATAATGCTGCTAATATTTACATCAATTACAATAATTATTCATTTTAACAGCTTATAAAAAGGAGTAAAATAGTTCATTAAAAGCTATTAAAGATGCATCAACAATATTTTTTTTTTCTATACAAAGTACAAATGCAAACAACAGTGCAAAGGCTACAGTACTGCATATGCGGGTTTGTGTCATACAAAACCATCTGCAATATATGTTAATTTTGTTGAGTCTAATGGTTAAAGTCTGGAAGTTCTTACAAAGCTTTATTTCAGTATGCTGAAGTAAACTCAACTGAAATTGTATATTAAGTGGGGGCGGGGTTTAGCTAATTAACTGTTGGAGGGGTGTGAAACCTGTTTTACCCAAGCCATCACACTAACATATTTGACGTATTTGTTTCCAGGAGTTGCGTCAATACCTGGCAAATATTGTGGAGCAGTGCAGTGCTGCTGGACAGGACACTGAAGCCCCTCTAGTGCTCATTCTGGACAACCTGCACCACATCAGCTCACTGGGAGAGATCTTCAGTGGCCTCCTCAATTGCAGATACCAGCGCTGGTCAGTCAGCATTTATAAACACACTACCATTCAAACATTTGGTGTCAAATCTTTTTGTTGTTAAAACCCATGGTTCTTAGTGATTTAGAATAAAGCAAGTCAGTGGTCACCTGTTTTTGAGTTAAAAAATAAACACAAAGTAATGGTTTTATTGTGTCTTTTTATTTGCAGTCCGTATATAATCGGCACAATGAGTCAGGCGACATCTTCTGCTCCAAACCTGCAGCTCCATCATAACTTCAGGTACAAAATCATGTTGTTTACATCTTAAAGATTGTTCTGTTTATTGTTCTATTTATCCATCTATCTGTCTGTCTGTCCGTCCATCTATCTATCTATCTATCTATCTATCTATCTATCTATCTATCTATCTATCTATCTATCTATCTATCTATCTATCTATCTATCTATCTATCTATCTATCTATCTATCTATCTATCTATCTATCTATCTATCTATCTATCTATCCATCCATCCATCCATCCATCCATCCATCCATCCATCCATCCATCCATCCATCCATCCATCCATCCATCCATCCTTCTTTCTATCTATCTATCTATCTATCTATCTATCTATCTATCTATCTATCTATCTATCTATCTATCTATCTATCTATCTATCTATCTATCTATCTATCTATCTATCTATCTATCTATCTATCGTTCAATTTATTCAATCATCCATCTATTTATCATTGTCGTTCTATTCATCGCTCTCTCTCTCTCTCTCTCTCTCTCTCTCTCTCTCTCTTTCTCTCTCTCTCTCTATCTCTCTCTCTGTCTGTCTGTTCCATCTAAGCAACATTTGTTCCTGATGTTAATTAAATAAAGAGATGCTCAGCTGTGTTTTCTGTTAAAGATGGGTGCTGTGTGCGAATCACATGGAGCCGGTGAAAGGTTTTCTGGGACGATATCTCAGGCGGAAGCTGATCGAGACGGAGATCGGCAACCGAACCCGAAACCCGGAGCTGGTGAAGATCATCGACTGGATCCCGCAAGTGTGGCAACACCTGAACCGCTTCCTGGAGGCCCACAGTTCCTCTGACGTCACCATCGGTACACACATTAGCATCCATTAGACTGAACAGAGTGTTCCCGGCATTCCTAATGCGAGTCTTGTGCTTCTCTGAACAGGTCCACGTCTGTTCCTATCCTGTCCGATGGATGTGGATGGTTCTCGTGTGTGGTTCACTGACCTGTGGAACTACTCCATTATTCCCTACATGCTGGAGGCTGTGAGAGAAGGCCTACAGGTAACATTAGCCCTCTATAATATTCCAAGCTATAGCTCATCAAGGAAAATCGAAAATTGTGTCAACATTTACACCTGTAACTTTACTGATATTGTATGTGTAATAATGTGTTTGAATGTTAGACCTTTTTATCTGTCAAGAGGAAACAGATGAAAATGATTCCTTGTAGCGAACTCTGGCTTATTTACAGTTTTAATGAGCATTGTTTCTGTTAAATTAAATAAAACAAAATTATTTGAAGAATGGTGGAAACTATAGTTCATTCTTCCTACTGAATCTTTTGTTGTTTCTGTGTTTGTTTAGTTGTATGGTCGCAGAGCAGCTTGGGAGGATCCTGCACTGTGGGTTCTGGAAACGTTTCCATGGGCAGCTTCTCATCAGCATCCTGATTGGCCAGCTCTGCTGCAGCTCCGCCCAGAGGATGTGGGTTTTGATGGATATTCCGCCTCCAGAGAGGGTGTCAGCAAACAGAGCACTCAGAGCGACAGTGATGCTGATCCACTGGTGAGTTACACAGATTAATGACAGTGTAGTGTACTCATATGGAGAAAATAATTTAAAATCAAGGTCACACTTTACAATAAGGTTCATTAGTTAATGTTAATTAATGCATTTACTGACATGAACAAACAATGAACAATACATCTACTACTGTATTTGTTTATGTTAGTTAACGTTAGTTAATGAAAATACAGTAGTTCCTTGTTAGTTCATTTTAACTCATGGTGCATTAACTAATGTTAACAACCATGGACTTGGATGTTATTAATGCATTAGTAAATGTTCATTTATGATTAATAAATGCTGTACATGTATTGTTCATGATTAGTTCATGTTAGTAAATGCATTAACTAATGAACCTTATTGTAAAGTGTTACCAAAATCAATTACAGTGCTCAGCATATATGAGTACACCCCCCACAAATCTCTCATTTAAATGTATATTTTCTATAGGATGTTTTACAATGCTATTGTTTTTGCATGCATATACATTAGTTTAGTCACTACTCTAAAGCCAATCTGGAGCTAATCTAACAAAATAACTTACAATAATGGTTCAAAAATTAGGGATAAATATAGGGATAAAATATAGGGATAAATATCAAAAAACAAATTCAAAAATCAAAAGAAACTAATAGTATATACAGTTTTTTGAAATGTTGTAGTTTGTATTTTGTTTGCTATATTTTGCATGAATTTAAATGTAATATCTTTCAATTTCTAAAGATTTTCTGTGACTAAAATGTCATTTTAATTCATATATCTGTTTAATAAATCTGTTTTGTTCAAACGCACTGGTATATATTACCCATATTCACTGAGAAATGGATAAAAATATTCATTTTCAAAATGGGGTGTAGTCATATATGCCGAGCACTGTAATTTAATATAATATAAAACATTTTGCATTAGCTTTTATTTTGGTATGTTTGGTTTTTATTTTGGTTTGTTTGTGGTTTTAGTGATTTTTTTTTCTTTTAATGTGTTTTTATTAATTTTTTTTATGTCTGTAATTATATTTTAAGTACTTTAAGTTAAATAAAACAGATTTTTTTGCTTTAATATTAATAATTTACATTTCAACTGTAGGTACTTATACCTAACAGATAGTTTGAGAGATTCATAATCATAAAAAAAGCAGAGTTTATATTACAGTTACATTAAATATGCACATTTTCCAAAAACAAAACTTTGTAACTTGTATATTGCACCAAGCCATGTCTAATATCTCAGCATTCCCTTTAAATGTGTGTTATTTTCATGTTTTGTGTGATCAGATGAACATGCTCCTGCGTCTGAAAGAAGCGGCCAGCTGCTCGAGTCCTCAGAGCTACGACAGCGACTCTAACAGCAACAGTCACCATGATGACATCCTGGACTCTTCACTGGAGTCCACACTCTGACCAGCCTGATCCAAGATGACACCCAATTCCTTAACTCCTATGCCAGCCGAGGCATGACCACACACACAGCGGGTGCTGGTAACCCACTTAAAGAATGACGCTTCATAAATATATATATATATAAATATATATGCGCCAAAACTCAAGCTGCCTCGTGTAAATTGTCTTTGTGAACAGTCACAACAACAAAATCAGAAGAAAGTGCTTTTTACCTCAAAACATAAACGTTCGGTCACATAAGCAACCATTCAGATGGAAATCGTTAATAGTGTAGCGATGGATGACGCACAACTCTTCTAACAGAATTCCAAATTGCTTGGATTTCTACACAAATACTGGGATTTTATCTATAAGAGTTTGCTAAAATATGACCGTAGCATAACTGTTGGAGAAAATCTCGCACACAATGCAAAGCTCGTTTGTTTTACTACCATCTACTGGTGAAATGGAGGAATTACACCTTAAATCTGAAACCATCAGAGTCTCGTCATTACAAAACCAGCTTGATCAGATGCTGATCGTCATTTTATGTTTTCAACATATGGATGAACTAGCATGGTGCTACACTTTGGACGCATTTATTGAGAGGATTGGAAGAAAAAAAATACCTCGATTACCATCTGAGACGTGCTTTTATTTGTTCTTTTGTTGATGTTGTTCTTAAAGCACCTGCTGTCCGCATGATCCAGTGTTCTGCTGTAGCACAAAGCCTATCTGTGTATTTTTACACTCGATCGCTCTCTGTTTTTGGTGCTGAACGGAATCTGGTGCCTTACGCCATTTTGTAAAGAAAAGCGGCACTACGTTTTATACTTGCTGATTTTGTCATGTTTCGTAGTTTGAACTACAGGGCTCTTACTCTGCTCTTTGAGTTTGCCTATAATAAACGGCCTGATGGTCATCATATCATATCAGAGGTACAATAATAGAAAAGAGGAGAAACTGAGCAGAGCAGAAACTTCCTTATTTTCATTTTTAGGTGACATTTCTAACATCATTTTCATATATTACATATTGGGCTTGACATTAACTTTTCTTTTGGAAACTAGCCACTGTTTTCAGTGGGGCTTTTTTTCCATAGTCACTTAGTACTTGAACTGATTCATTAGGGATTTTAGGCCTATAAAAAGGGGCAAATCTTATTCAATGTACAGTTGAGGACGAAACTATTCATTTCACATTTTTCCCAAGTGATTTCTAAACATAGTAGTTCTAATAACTGATTTCTGCTGACAGTACAGAATATTTTGATACATATTTTTCAAGATACTAGTATTAGGGTGCTTTCTCACCTGTGAATCGATTCATTTGTTCTTAAACAGGGATTAAAATTGTTACAATGTTGCACTTTGTTGTTGGTGCGGTTCGCTTTCACACGGCAAAGTTTCTAAACGGACCAAAATAACTAAAACAAGTCACGTGTGAGTAAACTCTCCTCACATTGGTCTGAGTTTCAGAGTCCTGCTTAGCTGTCAGGGGGGGCGGTGGTTTGGTGGTGTTTGACAGGGTGCACGCGACGTTTCTGAAGAGCGAGGAGGGATTCGGTGGGTAGGTGTGAGAAGGGTGTGCGCCGTATTTAAGGACCGGGAGGTAGACGCGCGAATTCCGGGAGATTATCACTAGTTTGCGAGCATCTGGGAGTCTCTGTGCATCCCTACTCATAATTCTCTCTTGATATACCGTATGCCTATTACATATCTATAAAACACTGTGATATAGCCGGGCTCGGTTCGTATCACTTTCTCACTACAGTCAATCCGCTCCAGAGTTCGTTTCAATCGAGCCGAGACCACTTCATTCAGGCAATCTCAGACCGATTGATTTGGCGCAGATCCGAGTGTGACTGCTGGATTCACATATGAGAACTGCGCTAACTGGGCAAACGAGACAGGTTGCAAAACAAAAGTCTTGGTGTGAAAGCACCCTTAAGCTTAAAGTGTAATTCAAAGGTTTAACTTAATTTAATGGGATAACTAGGCCTGTTAGGACAATTAGGCGAATCATTGGAAAATTGTGGTTTGTTCTGTAGTTAATCATAAAGCTAAATTATTTAAATGCGCTAATAATATTGATGTTAGCCTTTTTTATGTATTTCAGGCAAGCTTAAAGAAATATGACTTACTCCAGAAGAAATGTATACAGGAAATACTGTTTAATATTTCCTTGCTCTGTTAAAGATCACTTGGGAAGCATTTAAATAACGAATAAAACATCACATAGGTTGTAAAGGACTTTTGTCCAATTTTTTATTTGAATAATTTTTACAAAACAAAATTGTAATAATTTGCATCAATAAATGAAGAGCTAACTTAAAATCTAACTTAAAACATTTTAGAAAAATTTATGATACATTGTTATATTAAAGTAACATTCTAGCATGTGTCCTAATGAATGAGCTATTCATTCAGCAGATTCGTTCAGAATGCTGATTCATTCAAGAATGTGGGTCACTAAATCTCTGATTCCCCTGTGAAATAAAATCCAAAGCTACATCATTGCTATAATCCACTAGCATTTGGCTGTTAGGTTGCTGTTAATGTCAAGCCACCTGACATACAGACTGGCACAATGCTTCTTGAGCGATGTAAGACTCGCTTGGTGCTGAAAGACGTTTTTCAACACGGCAAAAGCACAGCAGAAGTTCATCATTTGGTGTTTTGAGTATACCTCATTGACCATTTTGGCCTTTTTTCGTGTACAGTACAAATCTTGCATTCAATGTGAAAGTGTAACAAACTTTTGATTAATATTATAGTGTATTTGCTGCTTTATAATGCAAGGATGAGTTGTATATAAATATATATATATATATAAAATTATCTTTGATTCTCTATTAAGGAACATGGCTTGAACTGATAAAGTGAGTTTCCTTGCATGGGAAAGCATAATATATGGGGCTATTCAGTGTTTTCACCTTCTTTTACCTTGTCTAATGCTGTATGTATGGCACTACGGGGTTTTTAAGTTAAAACTTGCTTCCATTTCACAGTGTTCGTCATCAATCCTATGCAACATCATCGTGGATTTCAAAACGGAAGCCAAATATCGTAGCTCTGTAATGCTGTCAGCACTGCCAATACGTTGTGTGTACACTGTGTAAATAAGGATTTGTGAATAATCTTAGGATACGTGCCTATTATTAATTTACTTTGCTGGATTATGATGATGCTGATGAAGTCGTTTTAAGCACAAATGTTGTGTGTGATTGTTGGAGGGCTATACAGTAACCGAACGGAGCTCATGTCACTGAATGTGTGTAATTTTGCTGTAATATATGGGTGTAAATATTTGACTACCCTGCAGGCTGCATTTTGATGAGTAATCATTTTTTTAGCCGTTTATAACAGCTCTTTAAGAATATGGAATATTTTGTGTAAAGTGTCTTTTTCCATCTTAACAGTCGTCTACGTTTTCCGACGGAGGATCTGTAAAAACGCAAACGACCCATGGAGATTTACTGATCACGCTACCGGTTTTAAATTATTTGTAATTCAATAAACTCAGTAATTATTTATTAATTGTTTATGAGCTTGTTTTTTGTGACTCCAAGCAATCACATTGGTGATATAAACACAATTATACAAGAAATACGTTTACAAGAAAAAACAATAATACACAACATACAACCCATAGTCTTATTTATACATGCACTGAAAATGTTTCTAAAATGTATATGACAGGATAAATGTTTTGGTCTGAAGCACATGCAAAAAAAAATTACCATTGAGCATAATCATTTACACATTTTGCAATTTACACATCTTGTTTAATATTGTCTGACACAGTTTACAGAGAATATTGAATTTCATATTTTCAATATAACCATATATAGTAAGGTTAATGGAGTACATGCAATATACTTGCAAGATTTTTCAGTAGTAAGTAGTAATAGTATAATAGTAAACAACAGGAAAAGATTTTTCACCAATGAAATTGCATTCGATTTGTATCGCAAATTATTACTACTTAGAAAAAACAAACATCTGATTTTAGGTTGTGAGTACTAATAAAACCCTACACCATTAAAATTAATTTATGGAAGCTGGTTAATGTGCTGTATCACATAATGTTTGAGAAAGACAAGATTGAGCCTCATAGGGCTGCACAATATATTGTTTCAACGTTGATTACACAATATGACAATCCACAAAAGTTACATTGCAGTATCTGCAATGTCAAGTTGGAATTATAATTAAACCGTTCAGAAGATGCAACTTTTTGTGAGGTCATAACAAAGTTGAACTTTTAAAATATAAATTGTTGGCTACTGAATCATTTATACAATGACAAATGTAGTGTTCTTTTACATTTGATTATTGAAACATTTTAATAAATTGCACAGAAAACCATAAAACACTATCACTCCTATTAAAACACTTTCATAACACTATTAGTCTATCCTTGTATTTTGTTTATTATATTTTATAAACCCTCCCAATCAATATAAAATCAGGAATTATTTCTAAATAGAAGTCATCTTGTGAAATGATTTTCATATTGTAATCTATATCGCAGTCATACTAAATATCGCAATGTCTTTTTTTTTTCTTCGTAATAACGTGTAGCCCTAAAGCCTCAGTTATGCTTGGTTTGAACCTGTTGGGGTAAACCAATCTCCTAAACATCTCTTTAGTCTTTGCTTATCCGTTTTCTTTCCATTGCATATTTAGCAATTCCATACCAAACCGCTGGTTTACTTTGCAGGCCATATTGACCTAGAAAAAGCTGCTGAAGGCAATTCTGCGCATCTAGAAATCTGTCAAGCTCAACTAAATATTCTTTGTCTTTTAGTCTAATATTCCAATAGGGTTCATCTGCAAACATTATGTATTTCTCAGAAGTCTTTAATAAATCAGTCAACACCTTAAAATCCAAATACAACTTTCTCTCACTTTCCTCCTTAAAGGCTTTTGCTATATTACTGATTTTATCATCACATGTCATTGTTACTCCTTCTCTTTTTGGGTCAAAGTTTTTAGCACATCTGGGTAAATACCAAATCATTTGTTTACCCTTGGGATCCATGTTTTCAAGTGACAATTTCAGGTCTTGTAAAAAGGGCTCTGTATAGTCCTCAAAGCTTTCGACATTCAGAAACCACCCTTCAAAGTTTAATCGGTGGGCAATGTCCACCAGTTTCTGTAGGATCTCTGATTTTGCCAGTTCTGCAATGTTGTTCCGATCTCCCCCAAAGTGTAGAGGTGACAAAAAAACTGTGCCGAATATCCCTACTCCATTATTATGTGCCTCATCGATCCAAGCTGGGTCAGGAGCAACTACTGCTCCTTCTTTATGTGACCCACCAAAAAAGACAAACTCTTTAATATACTGCCAGTAGTCTAATCTTATCCTGTTTTCCTCTGTTATGACTTCAGGAACTCGTTCACAGGTCGGTCTTGCTCTGAATAGTAATGTGAAGTCTTTGTGTGTGCTCTCATGTTCTTCTCTTGACCACTCGTAACTAAATCCATCGGTTTGAAGAGGCACTGTTGAAGGACTCAAATAATCCGAGAATGTCTGATCTTCAGAGTAATCTTTAAGTTCAGGGCAATCATTAACAGCGTTGCCTGGTTTGTTCAAATACCAAGTGTACGTTTTTTTCAATATGGGATCAGCCATTTCTTTTTCCTTGTTTTCGTTTAGAAAAGGTATCTCTTCATAAATGATCCCCTCAGGGACACCTCATGTGCTTTATTCAGTGTTAAATGCTAACAATGTTAGTTTGAATGCCATTTTAGAAGATTTTTATTGTCATATACTGAAAGCAGCAGCAGATAGTTCACCTCAGATCTGGAAAATAAAACAAACCATTTGAAATTGAACTTTAGAACTGAGACTCAAAACCAACACATATCAGTGATTCAGCATGTACATTTAATAATGTAAAAGTTTAATATGGTTAATATGTATTAATTAGATTACAAACCTGACCATATGGTTGGAATGCAGTAAGAGCACTATTCTGGACCACTGAATGGCTTTAATTAAATTTCTGTCATGTTTTGTGTGGTGCAAACAGCCAAATTGCTAATGGCTGCAAATCTCGTCAAGTAGCGTGTTGTTAGGACACAGGGTTACAATGTAACCTGCTCACCTAATGGTTATGCTCATAATACTTATACTATTTGCTAATTAATAACCTCATATGGAACTGAATCTATCTTATTTCGAAGTGTGCTACTATCCACTGGAGGTCACATTTTGGTCATGGGCGCATGCTTTAAGAGCCTTTCTGACTGAATGAAGGAAATATGCGATTTTAAAACAAGGCAAACTTGGGTGCTGAAATATAATTGGCTAAACTGGCATTGGGCATGTTAAAATTACCAAACGTTGTGACAGACGTTCTGGCACAGAAAATATATTTTCAAAGCAGAATATCTGATTTCAGCCTTGTTTTTCAGATAAACAATAATGTTCACTTAGAATGTTTCTTGAATATCTGCAAACATATTTTGGTATTTTTACCATAGAAGTCTCAAAAACTTACATATAGCACCTTTAACAAGCATAGATTTAAATTTTAATATTAAATTAGTATATGTTTAACTGTGATTAATAAAAATTGTTCATGCTTAATGTTAGTAAATAAATTAATTATAATAAAATCATATGTTGTAATGGTAATATTATAATGACATATTATATAATACGTTGTATATTTATGATTATTATTTTTCTTTTTTTCTTTTGTAGAAACACTCTGAAATACTCTGAAAAAAATACTAGATTGTTACACCCTATTGAAATATTATGTAATATTCCCTTCTGCTGTGTTTACCTTGTGCACAAAAAATATATACCATGGGTAACTGGTAAGATCCACATTTCCCTACAGCGGCATTATGTAACTCTCACTCCTGTTTCTAAATAATTCTTCAAAAAAACTAAAAAAAAAACAAAAAGTAGGTGTAAATTTCATGATCTCAAAAGCCCATCAGGTTTGGTGGCAAGTTTTGCCGAAATGTGTAGTTGCAGCGTATAATAGTGTTATGTTTACAATAGCCATAGTAAAAAAGGCTTTTTAACCTTTTCACCTACTTTTCAAGTGCCTTGGACTTAAGTATAATTACACACTGTGTGGTTTCTTGCCAAAATAAACAAAAATGAAAGAGACGTCATTTTATACAATTTAAACAAGGTAATACAGTAGCATATTACTTACCAAAAGGTCTTTTGAAAATTTTGAAGGATTTGCTTGTTTTTTTTCACGATTTCATTATGTGTAAAATTTCACTGGGAACCAAACTTAAAAGTATCTGTTCTAGTGAACCGCTCCAAGAAAAATGATCACCTTGCTCCCTTTTTAACCTGTCTAGGAGAGTGGGTGGGGACCATTGTGGATCTGTGGGAGGTTTCTTTTTTTTCATTCCACCGAAACAGACTTGCTTTGCAGACATTTACATCTCCAAAAATGTTTATTATTTAAGTGGTCAATATTGGGGTTTGAATGTTTTAAATGCATTTTATACAATAAATGTGCATTAATGCCATCAGTCAGTCATTGATTTATTTTGGGAATAAATTTGTTTTTAAAAAAATAAAGATGTATTAAAAATACAATTGCACTATTTCGTACTACGTGACTATCATTTTTATATTAATTGGCTCAATTTTATTCTGTAATGGACCATATTAATTTTAATAAGGACAGTGTCTGCTGGTAAGCAGAAGTCTAAAGTTGTGTTATCAACTTTAGAAATCTATTTATATAATGAGGAATGTCCAGCAGGTAAAACCTGTTGTGTTAAGAGGACTGTTTCCTCATTCCAGTGAACCAGTTCTTCTAAGTCAAAGAACAGTTGAAATGCAGGCTGCCAAAAAGCTATTTATCAAGAAATATTGAAACTAAAGAGTCAGACTTTAGTCTAAAACTCAAGAAATTGTGCAGACTTTATTGTAAATGTGAATAATCAGTGTAAAACTGATACTAACTAAAATGTATTACATGTATTTATTACCTATATTTTTTTTAGTCATGTTCTTCTTCTGTATTTCAATCTCATTTCACGGCATAGATTTCACCTGCAACAACTTCATCTGAACCGGTGGTCCAGTGGAAACACACACTGTAAAAAAAAAGTCTTGCTGCCTTACATTTTTTAGTTGAATCAAATTATCTTTTCTATTCATCTCAACTCACATAAATCATATGGACTAAACATATTGCAGTAGTTATAAAAAAAATAAATAAAAAGAACTCAAACTTATTTGAAGGACTGTTTCCTCGTTCCAGTGAACCAGTTCTTTTAAGTCAAAGAACAGTTGAAATGCAGGCTGCCAAAAAGCTATTTATCAAGAAATATTTGATGTGAAACTAAAGAGTCAGACTTTAGTCTAAAACTCAAGAAACTGTGCAGACTTTATTGTAAATGTGAATAATCAGTGTAAAACTGATACTAACTAAAATGTATTACATGTATTTATTACCTATATATATTTTTTTAGTATTGTTCTTCTTCTGTATTTCAATCTCATTTCACGGCATAGATTTCACCTGCAACAACTTCATCTGAACCAGTGGTCCAGTGGAAACACACACTGTAAAAAAAAAGTCTTGCTGCCTTACATTTTTTAGTTGAATCAAATTATCTTTTCTATTCATCTCAACTCACATAAATCATATGGACTAAACATATTGCAGTAGTTATAAAAAAAATAAATAAATAACTCAAACTTATTTGGAGGACTGTTTCCTCGTTCCAGTGAACCAGTTCTTCTAAGTAAAAAAACTGTTGAAATGCAGGCTGCCAAAAAGCTATTTATCAAGAAATATTTGAGTTTAAAGTAAGCAAGGTCTGCGTGCAGACTTTATGTATGTGAATACATAAATATGAATTAGTGTACTAACTAAAAACGTATGACATTTTAATACCTGTATTTTCAGTAATGTTCTTTCTGCTGTATTTCAATCTCCATTTCACTGCATAAATTTCGCCTCCAACAACTTGAACCACACAAATAATCCTTGTCCTTTAGCACAGTTTAAACTAAATTCTTAAAATTTCCTTTTTAAACAGTTAGTCTTATTTAGAACCATATCAGCCTGAAGAACCCTTTATCCTGATATGGTTCTTTGTGTCAAATTTTTTCCCGCCTTTTTTGTTTTTCAAATCTGTAATTGTCAAAACAGAACTAGTTTTCTCATCTACTATAAACAAAAAGTCAACAGTTAAATTATGTCTGCGGCTTTTCAGTTAAAGACAGTTTTCTCCTTCACAGAGTTACAGAGATATTAGTGATGAAACCTATTGCTATTTTTATTTTAAATGCATATAATAATAATTAATACGTAAAAAATATCAGAGTCAGGGTGTTGCAGTGGGTAGCAGGATCGCCTCACAGCAAAAAGGTCACTGGTTCAAGATTGGTCAGTTGGCATTTCTGAGTGGGGTTTGCATGTTCTCCCTGTGTTGGCGAGGGTTTCTCCCTGGTGGTCCAGTTTATACCACAGTCCAAAGACATGCGCTATAAGTGAATTCATTCATTCATTAATTTTCTTGTCGGCTTAGTCATGTATTAATCCGGGGTCGCCACAATGGAATGAACCGCCAACTTATCCAGCACGTTTTTTGCGGATGCACAGGGAGAACTTGCAGTTTGCATGAAACAAAGAAACGCCAACTGAGCCGAGGTTTGAACCAGCGACCTTCTTGCTCTGCATCGCGCTATAGGTGAATTAAAAAATGTAAAATTGGCCAGAGTGTGTATGGGTATTTCCTGGTGTTGGGTTGCAGCTGGAAGGGCATCCACTGCGTAAAAACATGTGCTGAATAAGTTGGCGGTTCATTCCGCTCTGGTGATCCCTGCATAATAAAGGGACTAAGCCAAAAAGAAAATGAATGAATGAATGAATGAATGAATGAATGGTGGCACAGTGGCACAGTGGGTAGCGATGGCGCCTCACAGCAAGAAGGATGCTGATTCGAGCCTTGGCTGGGTCAGTTGGCATTTCGGTGTGTTGGCATGTTCTCCCCGTGTTCATGTGTAGGACCTGTGTATGACTTGTAGGACTTCATGAAAAAGTACAGAAAGATAAAGTTTGTTGTGAGAAAATTACTCAGAGTACTATCATTTATTGTATGTGAAGAAATGTAGTTTATATGAAGACAATAATAATTTCCTCAATTCAATAGGAAACAGTGAAAAATCAATAAACTTAATTTATTAAAAAAAACAATAAATGGCTGAAAATATTGAACTGAACAACATATATTTACAAATACAATTAATAAAATACAACAGAATTAATGCATTAAATCAAAATCTAGTATGGTAAATATTTTACATAATACTGTGTTCAATCAAAGCGTAAAATAGTAGAAAAATAGTTGTTACAATTTATACACAGCTGAATTCGGGTTAGTCGATATTTCAAACAGCAGGTGACACTGTCTGAGAAAACGACAGGTCTGGAAGTGCAGTTCTGAGCGTGCAGGTTGGGTCTCCGGCCCTGCAGCTTTATGTTGTGCCAGTTGAACAGCCTCTGTGCTATCCATCATATCAGAGGAACCACATGTGGTTTGAAAAAGCATTTTGTGTATTTGTTATCTTAAAAAAATCTTTAAAAATAATCTTAAAAAAGCTCAATACTGGGCTATGATTTCTGTGCCAGGGGTGCCAAACGTGGATGGCCAGTGGCCACTGTCCTGAAACCTTGCTCCAGTTACAATTAAACGCCTTCAGGTCTTATTCATATATCTGCGTTGGGAAAGTTAAAGCTAAAATTTACAGGACCGTGGCACTCCAGGGCCGAGGAATAGGCTATGTAAAAATATAAATAACGTGTTTTAATACCAATTAAACCCACTTTTATTGCCTTAATATGGCTTAGTACATCTTTGCTTTTAACTATGCTCAATTATGTGCCGTTTGCGGTGTCTTGTTACCATAGTTACAGTATGATGTTAGGAACGTCATTTAAAGAGTACCCTTTTCTTTATAAAAACAGAAGCATCATACCAGAGCTTTTTAACATAACCACAGTGCCAAAAAAGGTGGGGTACAGTTTCCAAATGCAAAGGACAAAAACAGCAATTTATATCAATATCCTTTTTAAATTTACTTAGGAAATGTTTAACCGGATAGAATTTATGAATTAGTTTAAAAGATATTTCTTTGATCTTATTTGTAACCAAAAATTTGTGAGGCAATGACCAAATACTTTCCCATTTAGGAATTCTTACAAAATTATTCCAATAGGTATAAAGCAAGGTTTAGATACAACTTGATTTACAAATAGAGAGCGAATAGATTTGTTATTTTTAGCCTGTGAGAAACAAATTTTACCACACACTGTATCAACTAGATTGATTATGGGCTTATAAATCCAAGTTACACCTCTAAACAAGGAAACAATATTAGAATTAATTGGAGAGAAAACAAGAGAAAATTCCTTGGGAGTTACAGGAAAGTTAAAATGTACAAGAAACTCGTCATATGTCATAAGATACCCTTGAGTGTTAAACAATTGACAAACTAACACAATACCCTTTTCAAACCACCTCTCCAAAAAGATACTCTTGCATTTATACAAAATACATCTATTGTTCCAAATAAAATAACGTTGTGGTGAAAAATTGTGCTTGTTGATCAGTTTCCACGCCAACAAGGCTTGAGCATGAAAAGCAGAGAGCTTCACTGGTAATTTCTCAATTTTATAATCGCATAATAATAAAAAGGAAAGACCTCAAAGTTGGTAAAAAATAAAATTGGGAATAAAATTCCAGAAAGAAGGTTTGGTTGTTTTTATTTATGTGTCGTCCAGTCGTTACGTCGTGACGTCTGTTGTCAACCCGGAAGACATGCTCGCCATGGTTTCTGTCCTTCAGAAACAAATAAATCGTAGTGCTTTTAAATTCAGGGAGTAAGGTCAGTGGTTATTGCTTGAATCCATCCACGTTTTGCTCTACCGCATAAACTACCGCATAAATGACCATATAGGCCTACTTCTGAAACAATGTATCAAATAATCTAAGTAGGCCGCGTGCAGCGCGCGAACGAGTTCCCGTTTAACCCATTTTATCGTAGCCTATACTCTGTTGTTGGGTAGACTGGTAACTTAAATCGCTCGTTAAAGTTGATTTTAGGTTTGATATTAATGATTAGGCCTATTTGGTGGTGTCAGATAGTAATTATAGCTTTTTAGTAACGAGTTACATTTTTCAAACAAGAAGCCTTATAGATTAAATGCTTAGTTGCTATTTTGTTTCACACCTGTAGCTAATTGAGCAATAGGCTTAATTTTAAAATGATGCATGCAAGCTAAAGCAATAAAAAGTTACCAATGTAGCCTTGATTTATTTTAGCAAATCACTCGTGCTGAAGATGTAGCTCATTTAAATTACATTTCCTAAATATGTACAAAAAATCTAATCAGTTTTGTTTGTTGATATT